GGGATTTCCCCCATTTTTTTCCAATTTTCTCCAATTTCCCCCAATTTTTCCCCAATTCCCCCCCTTCCAGGCTACGACTTCCCAGCGGTGCTGCGCTGGTTCCTGTTTTGGGTTTAGGGTTGGATTTAGGGTTTCCATTGGGATTTAGGGTTTCCATTGGGATTTTTTGATCAATATCCCAATTTTTTCCCAATTTTTTCCATTTTTTTCCTATTTTTTCCCCATTTTCCCCAATTTCCCATATTTTCCAGGCTACGATTTCCCGGCGGTGCTGCGCTGGTTCTTGGGTTGGGTTTAGGGTTGGATTTAGGGTTTCCATTGGGATTTAGGGTTTCCATTGGGATTTTTTGATCCTGGTATCTCCATATCCCAATTTTTCCCATTTTCCCCAATTTCCCAATTTCCCCAGGCTATGACTTCCCGGCGGTGCTGCGCTGGTTCTTGGGTTGGGTTTAGGATTGTATTTAGGGTTTCCATTGGGATTTAGGGTTTCTATTGGGATTTTTTGATCAATATCCCATTTTTTCCCAATTTTTCCCCAATTTTTCCCCATTTTTCCCCATTTTCCCCCATATTTTCCAGGCTACGATTTCCCGGCGGTGCTGCGCTGGTTCTTGGGTTGGGTTTAGGGTTCGATTTAGGATTTCCATTGGGATTTTTCGATCTCAATGCCTCCATACCCCATTTTTTTCCCATTTTTTTCCCAATTTTTCCAATTTTTCCCCAATTTTTCCCCATTTTTTCCAGGCTACGATTTCCCAGCAGTGCTGCGCTGGTTCTTGGGTTGGGTTTAGGGTTGGATTTAGGGTTCCCATTGTGATTTAGGGTTTCCATTGGGGTTTTACAATCTTGGTATTTCTATATCCAATTTTTTCCCAATTTTTTCCCATTTTTTTTCCTCATTTTCCCCCCTCCCCAGGCTACGACTTCCCGGCAGTGCTGTGCTGGTTCTTTGGTTGGGTTATTTTGGTTTTTGGGTTGGATTTGGGGTCTCCATTGGGATTTTGTGATCTCAGTGTCTCATATTCCAATTTTTTTCCCAATTTTTCCAATTTTTTCACGTTTTTCCCAATTTTTTCCCAATTTCCCAATTTTTCCCCAATTTTCCCCAATTTCCCATATTTTCCAGGCTACGATTTCCCAGCAGTGCTGCGCTGGTTCGCCGAGCGCGTGGCCCTGATCATTCTCCTCTTCGACGCGCACAAACTGGAGATCTCGGACGAGTTTTCGGGGGCGATCGCGGCGCTGCGGGGCCACGAGGACAAAATCCGCGTGGTGCTSAACAAGGCGGACGCGGTGGAGACGCAGCAGCTGATGAGGGTTTACGGGGCGCTCATGTGGTGTTTGGGGAAGGTGGTGGACACCCCTGAAGTTCTTAGGGTTTTTATAGGGTCGTTCTGGGCGCAGCCGCTGCTCAACGCCGAGAACCGGCGGCTTTTCGAGCTGGAGGAGCAGGATTTGTTCCGGGAGATYCAGGCGCTGCCCCGGAACGCCGCGCTGCGCAAGGTCAACGATCTGGTGAAGAGGGCGAGGCTCGTCAGGGTGAGGNTTTTTTAATTTTTTGGGTTTTTTTGGACCCTCCCCAGGTTCGTTTGTGCCCAAATGAACAATCAGGTCCTGGAGAGCATCAGCCTGATCGACACCCCCGGGATCCTGGCGGGGGCCAAGCAGAGGGTCTGCCGGGGTAAGGGGGGACCCCAAATTGGGGAGGGGGCTCGGAATTTGGGGAGGGGTCCCCGAAATTGGGGGGAACCCGAAAAAACCGGGAAAACCAAAAAAATCCCTGTGGGAAAGGAACGATCCTAAATATGATGGGAAAACCCCTCGAAATTGGGTCCCAAAATCCCCGTGGGGGGTCCGGGAATTTGGGGAGGGGGCTCGGAATTTGGGTAGGGGTCCCGGAAATTGGGGGGAGCCAAAAAAAACCCGGGAGAACCCAAAAAATCCCTGTGGGAAAGGAGCGATCCCAAATATGATGGGAAAACACCTCAAAATTGGGGTAAAAAGGGGTCCCCAAAATCCCGGGAGGGTCCAGGAAATTGGGGAGGGGTCCCTGGAATTGGGGGGAGCCCGAAAAAGACCCGGGAGGGTCCAAAAAACCCGCGTGGGAAATGGAAATTGGGGAGGGGGATCCCAAAGTTGTCCCCGCAGTAAATGGGGGGAGGGGGGACACGAATTTGGGGTTAAAGGGGGTCCCCAAAATCCGGGAAAAGTCCCAAAACCCGTGGGGGCGCCGAGGGGGGGGTTCTGTGATTTTGGGCTACTTTGGGGTGATTTTGGGGTGATTTTGAGGTTATTTTGGGTGGGTTTGGGGTATTTCGGGTGATTTTGAGGTTATTTCTGTTGATTTTGGGGTATTTCGGGTGATTTTCGGGTGATTTTGGGTATTTCGGGTTATTTCGGCTGATTTTCGGGTATTTCAGCCGTTTTGGGATTTTTTCCCGGGGGTTTCTCGTGCCAAAGGGCGTGGCCGGGGCGTGGCGGGGGCGGGGCCGCCCCAATTCCCGGGAATTCCGCCAATTTTCCAGGCGGCTCCGGGGCCGAACCCCCCCGGGACCCCCCGGGACCCCTCCCCCGCTTCCTCCCCCACCCCAAAACCCGCGGGGGCTGCCAAAGGGGGGGGAGGGTAAAAGGGGGAGGGGAAAGGGGGAGGGATTTGGGAATGGGGGGTGGGAAAATGCGGGAAAAATGCGGGAAAAGGGTCTGGGAATGGGGCGGGGGCGGATTTGGGGTCTGGGACCCTCCGTGTCCCATTCCCCCCCTTTTCCCAGCGGCTCTCAGATTGGGTTATTTTGGGTTTAGGGCTGGATTTGGGGTTTCCATTGGGATTTTTCGATCTCAATGCCTCCATACCCCATTTTTGCCCATTTTCTCCAATTTTTTCCCAATCTTTTCTAATTTTCCCCCCATATTTCCCAGGCTACGATTTCCCAGCAGTGCTGCGCTGGTTCAGGGGTTGGGTTTAGGGTTGGATTTAGGGTTGCCATTGGGATTTAGGGTTTCCATTGGGATTTTTTGATCAATATCCCAATTTTTTCCCGATTTTTCCCAATTTTTCCCCATTTTCTCCCATTTTCCCCCATCTTTTCCAGGCTACGATTTCCCAGCGGTGCTGCGCTGGTTCTTGGGTTGGGTTATTTTGGTTTTTGGGTTGGATTTGGGGTTTCCATTGGGATTTTTTGATCAATATCCCATTTTTTTTCCATTTTTTTCGCGTTTTTCCCATTTTTCCCAATCTTTTCTAATTTCCCAGGCTACGATTTCCCGGCGGTGCTGCGCTGGTTCGCCGAGCGCGTGGCCCTGATCATTCTCCTCTTCGACGCGCACAAACTGGAGATCTCGGACGAGTTTTCGGGGGCGATCGCGGCGCTGCGGGGCCACGAGGACAAAATCCGCGTGGTGCT